TCCCAGTCTCTCTATATTTTCTCATCTATAAGATATCTGGGACAACTCACAGCCTTTCTCCACAAGTCTCCTCCTCTTCCATCGTTCCTTATCACAGTACACACTATCATCAAGGCAGTCGACCAAACTCTTGAGCCCCACTCTCCCTGACTACCACATCAAACCCCCCACCATGGGCTGCTCACATTCCCTCTTCCTTGCATCTACGTCTCTCCATATTCATTGTCTTGTCACCTTCCCAGCCCCAACTACCATGACCACCCACCTAGACTACTGCGATATCCTTAAATGCTTCAGCCTGTTCTCCAGATCACAAACAGAATGCTGTTTTGAAAACCCAAATCTGAGGATGTGGTTTCTCTGTTTAAGACCGTTCCGTGACCTGCCATTGTCTTTGGAACAATGACAAAATCCTATCACCAGGTCTGTCTCTCCTGCTTTGCTTTGTAGCACCCCGCCCCTGGTGTGCAGGCACTTTCTCACTCTCTCTGTTCCAGGCGCACTGGTTTTCCTCTCTCTCTGGACAATGCCAAGCGCCTTTCCCCTCTGAGCCTCTGTGTCCACCATCTCATCTGTGAGCACGCTCTCCCTCTTCCTCACCTAGTTAATGCTCCTTGTGCTCATGATTCCTACTCAAATGGCATTTTGTCTTGTAGCCTTCCCCACGTACCAGGATCAGTCCCAACCCTTTGTAGCCTGGGCTACCTTTCCTTCAGAGCACTTACAGCTGTAGCTTTTTATCCATACACTATGATAAGTGTTATGAAGGAAATTTGATTAATATTTGTTTCTATCTGTAGTGTATAGATTTCATTAGGACCTGAATCATGCCTGCTTTGGTCACTTTGTATTTCCAGCATCTGTTGCCAGTAGCATAAGAGCACTCCGTAGGCATTTGTTGACAGATGAGTAAGTGAATGAGTGGTCTTAAGAGGACCGCATAAAAACATCAGGCTGACTGAGTGCACCTTATTACCAAGACTTGGGAAAAACAACTTCAAGTTCATATCCTGCTGAGTTAATAGGACCTTCCTTGTATGTAAAGGTCAGTAAATTTTAAGATTAAAGTTGATTTTCTATAACTTACTATACATAGACTGATGTGTTATTAATAATGTCAAACTATAGGGCTCTATGGAAAAGTAATTATTTTCACATGTGTTCTATAGCATTTATTGTAACTATTTATAATTGTAATCACTACCATTGTTAGTCTGTAAAACCCATTCATAAACCTCATTCATTTTATTTACTTAAAATGAATTTAGTATTAAATACAACTGGAAACAGTGCTTTAGATAAACGTAAGGTATACCACATACTTTGCTATAAATGTACTGAACAGAAGTCTAATTATTTCCCACTGTGTTCTTAAGCTTTAATTTTTTTCTATAATTCGTCAACTTGGATTTATTTCAATAATTTTGCAGCACAGTTTTGATTTGGGAAGATTATTGTTTTTCTATTTGTAGCCAAAGTTCTCTACACAAAAGGAGAATTTATTATTTGTATTCATCATACAAATGATTGGCAATTAAACAATTGATTAGAGAGATTTTTGTCTCATTACTGGACTCATAGGTCAATAGAACATAATAGTTAAGTTGTTTAACAGTAGTTGCTATTCTTATTAATATGCATTATAGTCACACAATAAATATTGTGTTGATCAAGTATAGTTTATAATTTAGGAGGTAAGCTGACTTCAGTGTCTTTCTGATCAGTTCTATAATTTCTTTAAAGAGTTGCTTACTTTTTATGTATAGCTACAGCCCCATATAAATGAGAAAGTGTATCTCTGTTACTTTATGTTTAAGTAAGTTGGAAATGATGGGACATTTATAAGGGTGCTGAGTTGTTGCTCCAAGTTAATTTTTAATTGTGCTTTGAATTAAATCTTTCCACTAAAAACTCCCATTTTCAAATTTATTACTCAAAAATGTGACAGTATGTACACTGGGACAGATTTTTTTCTGGGGTAGAATTTAATGGGATACCTTGAAATAGATAACAGTTATATACATCAGATGCATATTAAAATGTAACAGTTAATTTAACATCATACATGTACTGATATCTTTCAACATGCTCCCTAACATAATATTCCCTCTCTTAGAAATTTACCTAAAAGAAATTCTTAGAGAAGGGGTTCTTTAACAATTAGAAAAAGTTGTGAAATATAATAACTTAAGCCTATTTTATCCTGTAAAGATTTCTCATTTGCATAAATGTATTTCTGATGGGATTTTGATTCTGAAGAAATTAAGTCATTTTTTTTCCTTGTCTCCCATATCAACTTGATGAAGCCCTTACTTATTAACATTTTAATTTGGGAATTCCCAACACAATCTTAATATTAAAATAATAATAAGTGATAGTAATTGTGATTGTCATTGTGACCCTTTTAAACAGTAGCTAAAGCATACCAATTGGATAGTTTATGAAAATTACAGAGTATTTTCTTTTAGGAAATTGGTTAAAATTAGGTTTTGAAGATTTTTTCACCCATTTTAATCTTAGAAGACGTTGAGTTCCACATTGACAAGGAAAGTGTCCCTTTCATTATGTAATAGGGTAACATCTTTAAATAAAGGCCAAAATAGGCATAACAGCTTCAAGTGTGTTTAACTTTAAATTAGTAATTTAAATGTTGCTGTGTGTTTCCTTAGAAGTTGCTTTGAGGTAGAAGCTGTGCTCTGGCTACTTCTGGGGCAGACTGGCCTTTACGTTAAATATATAGGTGACAGTATGGAGTATGAGGACAGTTTTCCATATAACTATAGAGACCTTACTCCATGGGTTAGAATCTCACTTGAGACACTGTTTGTTGATATACCACAGAGAAAGCCATTAACTTATAGGGTCAAGGGTTAATGGAAGAACTATTCTCTTCCTCTTATTATCTTGCAACGTTCTGCTGGGAGCTGAAGAAAGATAACACTTTTCTCTCCCAGTTTCTCTTAGCAGTTTTAAAAATGGTGACTTCATGTTTCTGTGACTAAATGAAAGATTAAATGCCAATATGGAAAGCTTTAGAATAGTACTTAGTCACGCTGACAGTTTAGACAAGCATTCCATCATGACCACCTTCGCTGAGGTTGCTAACTGGCACCCAGTAACAAAAACTTGGTGGAAGTTACCTGAATGATTTCTTGATTTTTGTGTCTTAAGAATTTTTTCTAGTTCCATGCTAGGCAAATTAGTTATCCTGTATAAGAAGGCAAAGACATTTCATAAAATGTTTAAAGAGACCACCAAAACTACTCCTGCTCTCTCCAAAAGGAATTTTATGCCTAAAAGATAAAAATTTAGCTACTCAAATTGGTGCCCCTCAAACCCCAACTATATTAGAGAATGTATAAAGCAAAAATATACATATATATATATATATTCGCCAAAAAACTTCTTAATCATTTAAACTATGTTGATGGAATTATAGATGAAATTCGTTTGTCTAGCTTTTGTAGTTGTGAGTCATTGGTTATTTCAAGGTTATTTCAGGGTTTTTTTAGACAATATATTGCATAGCCTGACTATTCCAATATGATGTATCTGATGAGATTAGGTTGCCCAGTACAATTTAGGAGTCACTGGAAGGTCTTTTCTTATATTTAAATGTTCCACTGGGAAATTTTCTCCCGAAATTCAACCAATTAGGGGATTCTCCAGGTTAATTAAAATAAGTCCTTTCAGGATACAGCAAAACTACTGTAGAGCACTTTGGGAAACGTATTGACTCCTTTCTCTCTGAAGGCCAGAACACTTTTATAATTTCATTTGGAGGTTAGTCATAGCTATGGTTATAGTTACCACTCCAGAATCATCTTGAATTAAAATAATCTCAGCCTATTTAATTGTAATCCTCTGCCAACAAACGCAGGTTGTGCTAGTTTGATTTGACACAGATTGGATGGTGGGTTTGACTAATTTTACTAATTAAATCTGCCACAACAGTCATTGCATGTGGACACATATGGTTGCAGTCTTCCATTTCACCCATAATTCAGCTTGACAACACATATGTGAGTTTTCTTTCTACTCGATGTTTATATAACGGGAATTTTTAACACATAATTTT